CTATTATGTGTCCATATCATTGTCCTATTGATATATATTTAATATTATTAAATTTTATGTAATTAATAAATTAGTCATTTCTATTAAATTAATTTTAAAAAATATTAATTCAAAGATACATTTTTAAATAAGTCTTTCAAAAAAAAAATTAAAAGTACAATATACAAAACACTTTCTATTAATTATTGATAGATATTTAATATTATTAAATTTTATGTAATTAATAAATTAATCATTTCGATTAAATTAATCTTAAAAAATATTAATTAAAAGATACATTTTTAAATAAGTCTTTCAAAAAAAAAAGTACAATATACAAAACAGTTTCTATTAATTATATATAGAAAAAGACTTGCATATTTTATGAAACCTTTAGATGAACTCGAGTTTTTTTTTATGGATTTAATTAATGAACCCGAGCTTCCTCCCGATGTATCGCTTAGATTGTGCGTGTATTATTACTGATTATATGTTGATCAAATTATCTCTAAATATGATAAACCATAACAAATGGATATTTTAAACCCTACACAATCTTTCTGAAAGTTCTTTCCAAACAAGTTGACTTTACTTATGGGAGAGGGACCCAATGACCTTCCAAGCCATTGTTGTCTGTAAATGAAGGTATATTTCTAGGAACCCCGTGAATCACCTAATCTCACGGTGGAAAATGTTGGAATACTATTGTCCCATCCTATTGGATCAAAAACTTAATAGTGGGCAAAACATGCAGATCAACCCTTCATCTTTACAAGCAGTGGCAGATTACCCCCTTGACTGAACTCACGTGCAAACTCCCCCTCAAACTTATTGTTGGTGGCAAAATGGCCCTTGTCTAACGGATTATGTCAACAATCTGTGCAATCTTAACGATGGGCTGCTTTTGGTGGGACTCATACATGGAAGACTCTGTCGTATGGTTGGCATCTTCATCGGGGACATTTAAAATAGGGAGCACCTAGAATCATTTGAGGGGGAAGCACACTAAGGTACACTGGTCAAGATTGGTTTGGTTTTCAAATTCTATACCACTACATGGTTTCATGTCTTGGCTTGCTACACTCGACAGGCTTTCAACTAAAGCATAGCAGAAGTCATGGTCACCTCATATTGATGATACTTATGTGTTATGCAACACTGCAAGTGAGACAAGAGCAATGGAGCAACAACATCAAAGCTGTGATGTTGCTACCACAAAACAGCAAAATAGTGCAGCAAGAAGCAGCATTTATAGGAGAAAATGTGCAATAATAAAGTTGCTTCAATGAAGGAAAGAAAGATGCAGTAAACTATTGCATTGTGAAAGAAAATGAAATGCAAAGTGCGAATGAAGGTTGCAAATTAGTCAACAGAAGTGTAGTAATGTGATAGTGTTTCAATGTACCTTTTACGTTAGTTTATATATTACAATCTTTAACTAAATGTTCGGATAGATTTTGCAGGAAACATGGAACCATAAATCATGGAAAGTAGGTGAAAAATATTGTTTTTATGTTCTGCTATAAATGGGCAAACATGTCACTGGAAACATGAGAGAGTTGGAGAACAATTTCTCCTCTCCTCCCAGCTGAGTGAATGTCTACACCCTTCTTAGTGTATGTTCTATATCATGTTATTAGTTCTACTCTTCCCCTACTCCCTTCCAAGGCCTCTCTCAAACTCTTCTCCTTACCTCAAAAATCTAACAAAGAAATCATTTGTTCTTCTGTTGTTTCTATTCTAGGCAAATTTGGGATAAAATTTCCTCTATGTTGGAGGTCCCTTCTACTCCTTGGTAGCCTCTTTTGGACTTGGTTATCTCAAAGGATCAAGCATAAGGCAATGTATAGTAGTTTGATACAATTAGCTTGGTGTGTAGCAATCTACCACATATGGATAGAAAGAAATGCCATAATCTACAAGCAATTTTTCATGTTGAGTCTGCAGTTGTGGATAAGATTCAAGCAAATGTTCGAGATAGGGTATTTGGCTTTGTGAAGGAGAAATCTGTTAAGGCTAGTGTATCTCAACTTTCTCCTACATGATCTACACTCAATGGCACCATAATTCTAGGATTTAGCCAATCTGTAATTTATGTGTTTATTATATTATATCATATATATTATTTCCATATCAGTTAGGATTCTACATTAGTGCTTCTGTATATATATTGTTTACAAGACAACAATAAAATACAACAATTTGCCTTCTTCAGTCTATTAGTGCTATCAGAGCACTCCATGCTTTCACAAGTCTTGATCATGGCTACCCATGATGAGTCCTGTAACTCTGTTGCATCCAAAATCTCCCCAAACTTTGCTACAACTGTCCTAAATCCTGGCCTCACCAAAAACCCCTTGTCTTTCAATTTAGTCGTATTCCTTGTAAAGCTAATGTCCACTAACTATATGTCATGAAGGGCTTAGTTTACTTCTTTGCTTACAGGTTGTGAACTAGATGGCTATCTCAATGGCAAGAACCCTTGTCCAATTGCAACCACATTGGAGTATAGCTTGTGGACTCACCAAGATCAATGTTATACCATTATCTTATCACCTCCGTCTCAAAGAACATCACCGCCTATATTGCTACTGTTGCCATAGCACAACAAGCATGGGAAATGTTAGCAAGGCTCTATGCTAATCATTCTTGCACTCAGTGATCACCTTAAAGGAACACCTCCAAAACATGAGATGTGATGGCCGTTCTGTCACGGCCTATTTATGTGATCTCAAAACTACTGTTGATAAATTGGGAACTGTTGATAATCTATTCAATGATGATGATCTTATAGTTTATATTCTCAATGGTCTTGGACTTGAGTTTCGGGAGATTACAACTTCTCTTTGAGCATGGACTCCTCTCTTTCCTTTGATGACTTGCATGACAAATTGGTAGCTCATGAAGAATGTCTCAAACGTTAAGAAGCCTGCCTTGAGATCACATTGGTGACAACTCACTATGTTGCTACTTCCTTTAATTCCAGTACTGATTCCTTTTCTTCATTAAGTGTAGGCAACTCTTCTACCTCTCTTGGCTGCCACCCTCAATAGGTGCTTCATGGAAATTGGAATGGGTAGAACTATTCCAATCATGGCTATCAAAATTAGTGTCATAATTTTAGCCTTAGGCCCATAACTCGACCCACTAATTTAGGTTACCAATTGTGTGGTCATGCAAGCCACTTTGCTAAAAACTGCTCTAACTACTGCGTGTAAGCTCTTGGGCCCATGGCAAATTTGGCCTCCTTCTCTATTGCTTTTTCTAATGACTGCCTCATGGATTCTGGTGCCAACAACCACGTCACCATTGGCTTGGCTAACTTGACACTTCTTTTTTGAATAAAATAAGCTTAGTGAACTCCATGTTTGTGATGGAATAGGTTTAAAAATCACATGTGTTTCTTCGACCTTTTGTAATTTAATTTTTGTCTCTCAATTACATAAACATGTCAATATTTATGTCAAATTTCACACTAATTTCTTTTTGGTGAAGTATTGTTGCATGAATGAGATACTACTCCAAGGACCAATCATTCATGGCATCTATCAAATACAACACAAATAGGAGAGCATACTTCTTTGGTGATTTGGCATTTACGATTAGGCTATCCTTCAGCAAAGACTCTAAAACAAATTATTAATATTTCCAATTTGCCTTTATCTAATAAACTACAGTTTTCATTGCATGAATCTTGTGCTTGCTCCAAAAGCCGTAAGCTTCGTTTTTCCAATTCTCCTATTACAAGTCTCCACTTGATAATTTTTTTTCTTTGATGTGTAGGACCCTACACCTGTCACCACTCTTGATGGGTTTAATTATTTTTTTGGTCAATATGGGGGGAAAAATATGTTGCCCTTTGTCACTTTCTCTCTACAACATGGATCTCTCATTTTACCACCCCTCTTATACACTAGAACTCAATGGATTCAATGAACAATGAAACCATCATGTTGTTGAGATTGGTCTTGCACTGCTTCACATTGCCTCCTTCCACTCAAGTTTTGGACTTATGCCTTTCAAACCTCTGTTTACTTACTTAACAGACTCTCGTCCTCAATTTCCTTCGCATTTGCCTAGACATATTGTTGTAAAGTGGGGACTGGAAATATTTTTTGTAAAGATTGACATACCATAGTTTAGTGCTATTGTTTTATTCTTTATACATGAACATTGGTAGCAGCCTCATATGAAGAGCTGATTTGTGTATGGTGAAAATTTGGCAATACAACATGGAATTACAAAAAATTAGAAGTTTTAACAATTAAAATTTTAAGATTTTTAT